ACGTGTGTATATGGTGTCTAGTATAGACAGGCGCCAGTGGACTGGGCCACTAAAGATAAGTACATTTCAGTTTCTCGGTTAACTGTAGATACTCACTTCATTCAGGGGTATCCTTGCACGAGGTCTTGGGTTCAGGGTCAGACGGGACTTTGTACGAGACTACGTAGCTTGTAACGGAGGAACGGTGGTTCACGGATGCTCGAAATATGTGCGCGTGTGTTCATAGGCTGACGCAGACTGATATGATATTGGGTTATGGGCAAAGCAATTCCCCCTTTCCCTCTGATGGAAGCTGCAAAAAACACTTAATTTTGTACATACAAGTATATCTAAAGTAAGCACAATGAACAGTATTGAATCGTATACGCAGTTTTGCACGGCAGGAGCTAAATATTTGTAACATAATCTGAAGGTGACTTGGATCAGACTTCGTGGCAGGTTTGCTCTTGTCTTTCAGCGCGCACATTGCTTTCCTTCTTATACAAGCAACTGTCATCTTCGTAAAATTACCGAAACTCTCGCTCAAGAGGGGTCGGTATATTAACCTGGGCAGTGCCCGTGCCGGCTCGTGATAGGGTGAGAAGCCCCCAGCCGACATTACAATTTGTCTTCATTAGACAGAGGAAGAGGTCTGGGCGTATGTCCTTCACGTGTTATCTCTTCGAACTTGAGCCCCCCTACTCAAAATTCCCACATATGAAGAAAAGTTCCAACTAGTTCCCAGAAGTAGACAGGCATATAGCTAAACGTACAATGATGTAGCGGCGTCCGAAATTCGAACTCAGTCCCTCCAAAGAGCCACGCACTAGGCCTGTTACAAAAGCGTAAGTTTCAGTTAGGAGGATAATATTGTAAAATATTAAGAAGAATAGCTTAGTCTCCACTATTAAGGAGAGTTCATAGATCGACAGCGGTAGCTATTAAAGTTTTGCCTTCTGGGATAAAATGTCGTATAATGTGTCTCCACAACCCGTTGCCGGACTGCACAGCCTTGTGTTCCAAAAGATCTGACTCCATAAATCGAGAGTGTTTGAGAACAGGGTGCTGCGGGGAATACTTAGATCTAAGAGGACGAAAGTTACAGAAAAGAGCAGACCGTTGCACATAATTTCATAATTTTATTTTATCAAATGGAGAATAAGATGGGCGGGACATGTAGCATACACGGGAGAGATAAAATAGACATACAAGAGTCTGAGGCAATATCTGTTGGGTGGAGGCCACTACGAAGATAAGCGTGCACGGTAATAAAATACTGAAATGGATCTCAAATAGACAGGGAGGAAGAACGTAGTCATTGAATGAATGAATGTACGAGGGGTAGGCCTCTGCCCTTGCACCGCGACCTACAGTGGTCTATTGTGCTTAAGACCGTGAACATTGCTTACGAGCTCACTACACAGCCGAGTGAACTACTCTCCTTAACGCAGTAATAAAACCTCGACTACTATTTTTTTTAATTCGCTTAGTGGGGGGTGGAGTCCAATTGGGTTCACTCGGCACGGCGGCCAATGATTGGCCTATTGTAGCCTACCCCGGGTGATTATGATGATGGAGAATTTGGTGGGACGAAGATTGACAGGAGAAATCAAAGTACTCGGAGAAAACCCGCCCCAGCGCCACTTTGTTCAACACAAATCCCATTTGACCAGACCCGGGATCGAGCCCGGGTCGCCGCGGTTGGAAACCAGCGACAAACCGCTTAAGCTATGGCGCGGCCATAACCTCGACTACTATGAGAGGGGCGAATCTATTTAGTATCTGAGCGAATATCAGCTTCTCAATATTACAACACTCGCAGCTAAGAAGGGAACACACATCACAAGACACGGTTTACACAGAATATAAGAAAAACGACCCCCATAGCGGAAGAACCACACGCAAGTTTTAATTAAGACACATAAGATGAATAATCTTAACAAGTTTTAGTGTGTGTAAATTTATTGTAGTTGACAAATACGCACTTTTAAAATACTTTTTAAATAATTTTATAAAGACATATAAAGGCAAGCAATGCAATAGATTAGCGTAATTAGGGCACCTGATGATGGCATTATGTTGCCGAAACATGTCGTGAAGTAACAGGTGAAATTGAGTGCACTACAAGACGGCCACTGTATACATATCATGGATTCTCAAGGAGCCTCTGATCCATGGAGCTAGCTAGTTACTTGATGAAACGCGGGGGATTCCCATAAAAAAGCCAGTACGAGAAAACAGTGCAGGAGGTTGGTGCACCCTTGCCACTCTCTGGATAACCGCCGAGAGATATCGCCATTAACTTCCTATACTCTCACCACTTTTCTCGGGCGAGTAGGTACCGAGAAACCGACAATGATGCCCACTTTCCAAATCTTTTAGTATTGTTGATCATATTCCCATATCATTCAACAATGTATATTATCTATCTATCCATACATCTTTCTATCTGTCTATGGCTCTACAACCCTTTGTCGGACCTTCGCCGCTTTTTCACTTTCTTAATCCTATACACAGTCTGCAAGGACGCCTTAAACGGGAGATCAGCCAGTCGCAAGCCGCTACCTACACACAGAACAACATAAACACAGAAGAAAACGCAAACAGACATACATACTTTGAGTGGGATTCGAACCCACGATCTCAGCGTTTGAGCGAGCGAAGACAGTTCATGCCTTAGACAGCACGGCCACTTTGATCGACAGTGTATAATATACACAATTCAAACAGCGTCGTTGAATCACCTAACAATCGATAAACGTATAAAAACACAGTCACCCTTAATAGGAACGTGGTTCGAAACCACTGTTCCACTGTGTGCACAAAACTGGGTAGCCATCGGAACAGGGTCTGATCCCTTCTGACCTAAATTAACCGGTCTAACTGAAGGGAGAAGGGAGGTCCTTGAGAACCTAACAGCCGTTCAGCTAATAAAGAGCTATATATATGATTTTTCGTTTTTCCTGTCAAACACAACAAACAGCGAGCACCAAACAACCCAGTTTAGAATTAGTAGGGAACCACTTATTGTGTACGTATAAGGATGAAAAGCAGGCCATATTTTTCATTTTATTCGTAACATTTTTTAATTCGCTTAGTGGTGGGTGGAGTCCAACTGGGTCCACTCGGCACGGAGGCCACTCATTGGCCTACTGTAGCCTGCCCCAGGTGATTATGATGATGGAAAATTTGGTGGAATGAAGATTGGCAGGGGAAACCGAAGTACTCGGATAAAACCTGCCCCAGCGCCACTGTGTCCACCACAAATCATTCGTAACACATAATGAGAAGTGCAATATATGGCTCCATATAGAAGGCGCAACTCCATAGTACGTATAAGCTTGTTAGTGCACCGCCTGATGATGACTCCAGGAGCCAAAATATGCAGCGACGCTGTACGGCCAATGAAATCAGTTATGCACAGTGAAATGTGAGAGAGTTGTTTCGTGTTTGTTGTGTTTGACAGGAAAAACGAAAACTCATTTATATAGTACTAACACAGAACAGGATGCATTCCTGAAAGAAAGTCTTTTATGAAAATCGAAGATTCATTAATTTGTTCACGAGAGCTTCGAAATGTACCTTTCCTTTTCACTTTTTTTAATAGCTCCGTGGCTTTAGTGTTCATTTATTGCAAAACAGAAACCCGCAATATTGTTATTATTATTATTTGTCCTTGCACCTCGTTAAATAACAAACCTATCAAAGCTTGAAATATGAGCCACACATCTCACCAACTTGTACATAATTACACGGTGTTGCCAACTGAGTCGTTTTTGGGGGAAAAGAAAAGTTGCATTTTAGTTTCACTAACATGGAGCAAAATCAATACCTGTCGACTTTTAATGCAGACTCAAGATGATAACTTTTTCGATATCTATTCCGTAATTTCTGAGATAATATGAGGAAAGACAAGAATAACCTTTCCATTATGCGTACATTTAATGCACCTCGTGCTGTACAAACACCTAAATTACGTCTGACTCATTGAGTAAGTACCACGCCATGACGGTTCAGTGGAGCAAAGTAAAAGATGAAGTTCTCCCTGTGCTTAACTAATTAAGCACTACGCCAAGAAGGTGTATGGGGGAGTGGCTGTATAAATCCACGTTTTCTTGACCTCGGCACCCCCGGTACCGATTGGGTAGGAGGCTTGGTGGGCCCCATGATGCGGAGGGGTTACGATGGTAAAGCAGCACGCTGTCTAGAACTCGGCTCTGCATAAACACAGTGCGGAAGCATTCCATCTAAACCTAATCTGCCCAAGCTAAGCTGTAATGAAGTCAGATCATTCTCAATATGAAGTAATATAAGGGCTGCCCGTGAGTAATGCAGGAGATGTGGAGGCAAAGCTCTACTAGTTCTAGATCCTACGGAGTTACGCGCGAGTAATACAGGATATGTGGAGGCAAAGCTCTACTCATTCTAGATCCTAAGGAGTTACCCTCGAGTAAAACAGGAGATGTGGAGACATAGCTCTATCTGTTCTAGCTCCTACGGAATTACCCTTCGAGTAATGCAGGAGATGTGGAGGCAAAGCTCTACTTATTCTAGATCCTAAGGAGTTACCCTCGAATAAAACAGGAGATGTGGAGGCATAGCTCTATCTGTTCTAGATCCTACGGAATTGCCCTTCGAGTAATGCAGGAGATGTGGAAGCAAAGCTCTACTTGTTCTAGATCCTACGGAGTTACCCGCGAGTAAAACAGGAGATATGGAGGCAAAGCTCTACTTATTCTAGATCCTACGGAGTTACCCGCGAGTAATACAGGAGATGTGGAGGCAAAGCTCTACTTATTCTAGATCCTACGGAGTTACCCACGAGTAATACAGGAGATGTGGAGGCAAAGCTCTACTTGTTCTAGATCCTACGAATCCTGAGGCATTCAGACTAAACCTTGCTTTCCCTAAAGATAATAAAAATGAAATAAATACCAGAAAATGTGACGTAGCTACCGAAGAGAAACACAGAAGAGCATGACGCGTGGAAAGCAGCGAGAAACGGCCATGCGGCTACTCACCGGCCGATGTGGATCTGGTTGAGCGCCTCGTTCAGCTGATGTCACAGGTGGTCCGCTTCCTCACCTCGAGTCTGAGCAGATACTTCGCTCTGCCGGCGCGCACAACACAAAAAGAAAAGGACAGACAATTTCATGATAAGGAAACACACACAAGTATCATGTTGGTAGTGATTGAAAGGAGAGGAGAGAGAGGGGAGGAGGTATTATCACTATGGGCGTGACCTCAACTTAACCATAGCTCCACCCCAACCAAATATCCCCCCCCCCGA